GTGCTCTCCCCAGCGGCCGGGACAAGAGGCAGCCTGCTCCATACTGTCCTTGTCCGCAGGAGCCAGGCTCTCTCGGAAAACAGCTGAGCCACCACGCCTGACCTCTGTGTGAGGCGGGCGCTCCGGCTGCGTTGCTGCAGCCAGGCAGAAAACATCCATTCACCTAAAACGTGACAGTCTGATGGTGCTCAGTATAAAACAGAGGGCTGGAGTAGCCCATGTGCTGCCCCACCTGAAACAAGGAACAGAGCTACCAGAGCATGAAAAGGTCAAGCAGAAAGGCACAGAGCAGAGAGTCCATCTTCCACACGTGTGCGTGCACACCCATGTGTGCCTATGAGAAACTGCAGAAGCCATTGCTCAGGCAGATGGAGATGGAAGTGGGCTGTCAAGCGTTTCGTTCTCTGCCACCTGTCTGGCCGCTAATGCTGTGACTGCTACGCAGAGTACCAAATGCATTACACAGCAGACCTTCCGCAGCACTACCTCCAGCATTTGAGAAGTGAGTGTGGGTACTGCAAGAAGGAAAGAGGAACCTCTCTTGCATCTCTTTTCCTTTCCTCATCTCAGAACAAGCCATTTAGTAGTTTAGCTTTTTGCTTCTGACTTTACGGCTCCAATCTGAAATAATCTTACAAGCGTAAACAGTTGCAAGAGAGAACAGTAAATTGCTTTTCACAAGTCTCAGTATTTAAGTAGTCTATGCCATTCTCTAAAAGACAAGTCATTTATTAGCTGCCGAAACTCCCATGGATGGCAATGACAGTCAACCACATATTTAAATATGGCCCATCAGCTCTCTTCCTGTGATACAGTTTACAGAATTGAAGGATTAAATTCCTGCTCCTAAGGTCAATTCCTGTTCCTAAGGTCACAAAAAACCCAACAGAGGTACGAAAGAAAGGTTTGTCCCTCTCCTCTAGAAGCAAATTCTTCCCTTGTTCATCCGAAATGCAGAATATGAGGGCTGTGGGGAAAAAAGAAACCTCCAAGATTTTTCACAGAACTAGATATGATTTTTAAATGAAAAACAATACAGTGCTATTATCTTCATATCATTCACTTGATATGACTCTTCCACATAAAAAACTAAGACCAAATTTGCAATGAAAATGATGCACCAGGCATTGTCCACGACCTCTCCAAATGCAATGAATTTCTTGAAAAAGCTCCCAAACAAAGGTACAGATGGCATAAAATACATGACCCAATACATCCTTCTAGTTTATCACAATTTAAATAGGATTATTAATAAAGGGTGAAAACACATTAGTAAGAAAGGAGATAATACATTTAGGGTAATAAGAAAGCCTACTGTGAAAATGTTCCCAGCAAACAGAACGAGACAGCATCGAAACATGTTTGAGAATGGGAGAGACAAATTCTACTCCCTTTTTCTTCCCACCTCAGATTTGCAGCTAAATTATACAGAATTAAAAAGATACCTGTTTCTCGGTTCCCTATATTATCATTTGCAGCAGTTATCTTAAACCCTTCATAAATGCTGGTGGTTTGCTCTCCCTCTTCACGGAAAAATAAAATACAAGCTAATATCATGTTTTAGATTCAAATGGTTTGCTTGTGCTCTTTGCAAATTTCTCTAGTAATGCTCAAGGTTTAATATGCTCTGGGAAGGAATGCAAAATGCCGCATAATGAAGAGGATAACTATCAGGGAAGATGCTCCGAGAGAAATGATCACCACCTGACTAAGCAGAGTGCACATAACAAATGCCCCGATCAAATGCGCGTGCGTACCTAATCTGTTGGAGGGGTTCCTTTTGAAGAGGGCTCGCAGCAGGCTCTGGGCTTCTATACTCAAGAACTGCGGCATTCCCAGCTTGGCTCTGAAAGAACACAACACTTGAAAAGAAAGTAGATTTTTCAGAAATTTTCTCCATCCCACTGTGGTTTAAAAAGTGGAGTTGTAGTAGTCAGGATGGGCAGACAGATGAATTTGGTGACCAAAGGCTAGCGAAGCATAATGCAATACAGAGTGAGGACCTGATCTTGTTCTGTTGAAGTTAAAGAAGGTTTTACTACTGGCTTCAGTAGAAGTAGAGTAGATCTAATGAATCTCATAACATCTTTTGCAACCTAAATAGGTCATTTTCCTACAGAAGTTTTTTCACTTTTTTAGCTTGCTGGAATAAATTTGGGAATCAAGAGGAATTTAAACAAACAAACAAAACTTCATGAAAATAATGATACTAAATCACATATTGATTAAAGAGAATAAAACTTTTCCCTCGGTGATTCACTGCTACAGAGAAAAAATGTAATAGTGAGCAAAGATAAGCTTCAAATACTTACGTCTGCACTTAACATTAAATGAACAGGAAATTTGCAAAGGAAAAGATTTGAAACTTGGCAATGACATAACATAAGCTGTCCTGCAGAAATTTGACTGTTCCTACTTTTGTGTGGCTAATGACATCCTTTATTACAGAAAGTAAGATACATTTCTTTTGTAAGACCCACTCAGTAATTCACTTCCTACTATTTATGCTGAAGGCAATTTTAGAACCACAAGCAGGCATCAGCTGTGCCTGCCTTACCAAATTCATGCCTTACATAGCTTTGAAAAATGCATTATGCACATTATTATTCTCTACCCTTCATATACATAGGACCTACAGGCTGCCCGTAGGGTACAGTTAACTCATAGTTAGAGGAACGAAAGCAGTTTCGGTACTCACTTGAGAATGAGTGCCATTGTCTCCTTTCTGTCTTTTCCCTGGAAGGGTAATGATCCTGTCAGCATCTCAAACTGTGGAGTAAATCAAATGAGTGTTGAGATGGCCTGCATAGCCGATAGACACCACACCCACCTTCTATTTCCAACACAACTGAAAACTTGAGGAAAAGAAATGGTCCAACGGGCTGTACTTCAGAAAAAAATGACACAAGCAAGTCTGGGTTATGCACAACATGAATGACCAACATGACTGTTTCGTTCAAGAGTCTTGTTACAAACTGTTTACACTGATACTTGGGGTCAAGTTTTGGTATGTTTGGGAAGAAGTGTCATATATGCTGTTTCCTCCAGCACCTGTTTTATGGCCAATGCTGGAGATGAGATATTTGGCTGGAGGGACCCTTAGTCTGAATGGGTACGGCTGTTCTTAGGTGTTTGGCATGGACTGTGGTGCAAGGAAAATGGGTTCAACATGCCACTCCCCATCTTTTTAGCTTGAGTCAAACCACCTTTTTGATTGTATATTTGCACCACTTAGAGACACCACTGCTATACTTTGCAGGAGAAACATGCACAAACCCCACATTCTCAAGGCATTTGAGCGTGCTTTTTTCTCTCCCGCTTTGGTTCCCCTGGCTGTATGCAGTGATGAATTTTGCAAGTGTCACATTTAACTGAACCCAAATCTTAAAGCAAAACTCAGCAATCATCATCAATTATTTGCCTAACTCACACATGAAAACATCAAGCAGTTATGGTTCCTTTGATTATTTCCTTTGAAAGATTAGTGCTTTCAGTAAATTTGACAGGAATTTCACATTTGTAAAAACCAAAACAAACAAAGACGCTCGCCTAATATGGATTCAATACCAGGTCTTTCACGCAGCTCTTGTCACAGTGTTTCTCGAGGGTATGAGTGGGAGCTGGTTCTGCTGACTAAGGGATGATGAAGGTGATGCTTCACCAAACACAAAGACACCAAGAACATAATTCAGCCTGGGCACAAAGGAGGACAATGTCCATTGAGAGTAAGGAGAACAGTTACCTGCTTATGTCTGTGCCTCAGGCTTTGGATCTCTTCTACTATAATAAGTACCTACTACTTAATATTCATTGCTGTAATTAAATACCTGTTAAGGCAGGACAGACTCTGCAACCCTTATGTAGTTTTTGTACCTTATCACACAAGTAGCTTCACTGCTCTTAGGAAGCACATTTGTGAAAAAAGGATCTTTTCATTACCAAAACCCATGTCAGACTGCCCCACAGCCTGACTCTTCCCTTTTCCCAGATTAAATATAGCCATACCGTAAGAAAAATATAAGAAAACGTAAGAAAACTGTAACCGTGAATCTGTTATTTAAAACAGTTTTGGGAGGAGGGCAGAGGAGAGGTTTAGAACCCAGGTAACTAACTGACTATAATCAACTGAAGGATTAATCTGCATTAGTAACAAATTACTGCGAGGTAATAAAACACATAGTAGAAACAAGGAAAAAACACTTTTTAAAAGTGTGTATGGCTGACAATATAGCCAAGATTTGAAAAACGCAAATGTGTGAACTCCTGCTTGGTCTAGGAGAGTCAAGAGAAGAACTGCCTGGTACAGCTGGAGGAAAGCAGCTCATCTTCTAGAGAGAAACATGGTGGGGAAGAATTTTTAAAACTGCCTAACTGACACTGGAGCTCAGGCACCATTTTCAAAGTAATTCTGACCTATTAGAGCCTCAGTCCTGATAAAAGTGTTCAGATATACTGGGGATGAGGGCAGAGAACATTGCTTCCCAGGGCAGCAGCAGAAGTGGCACATACTGTACCAAACCCTCCTCACAATTTCTAAAGAGTTTACATTCAGGGTAAGTACCTAATGTTCACTTACACGTGCTCATGCTACTCTGTTATAATAAATCTAATTTAACAGCACTAACAATGACTGCTACAGCTCATTTACTTCGGCAGAAGTGGGCTTGACGCTGCTGATGCAGATGATACAGGTATAAGCAACTGCTTGGTCAGTGACTACGTGGGAAGAAGATGACTGTAGCTCCCGCCCACCATGATATCACAGGAAGATCTGCAAATGCACCACGGGTGCAAGGGGTCGAGAAACCTAAAGTCAAGAAATTCAGATGCAGGGTCCAAGAGGGGAGGAAGGAGGGAAAAAAGAAATTTAAGTTGTAGGATGGAGCAGGGGAAATGACTGTCCTGGAGGCTGCAGGGAATATTTACTGCGCTGCACTAATGGCTAGGACTTTGGTACCACGTGTCTCCAATTACGCAGGTCTAATGTTGAGATTAATTCAGATTCAGAAGAAATGCACTTAACATCAATATTTAAAGTGAAAGGCAGCTACAATGAGTTAAATGTACCAGAGCTTTTTACTTCAATGAACTCAACTGAGCAGCAGTTGGAAGAAAGCACTGGTTTCTCAATTGCAGTCCTGATTACATCTGTTGAAGGTTAAAAATGAAATAACAAGACTAAAAAAAAAAAAAAAAAAGAAATAGTTCATCTCATCAGTTAAAGCTACCGCTTTACTGCACAACAACACGTTTTCCCACTTATTTTTTCAAAAAATCAAGAATCTCGCTAAACCTAAACATGCAAACAGAAGTGAGCACTTGCTGCTAACATCCTTCCACATAAATACAGAGTTGTATGGGTCACAGCAGGTTGACAAGGAGCTGAGCCTAGGTGTGAAGAAACTCTGTAGGATTTTTGGCTATTAAAGCAGACTCTATAGTCCTCGCAGCAGACTCAGTTTTCACCCTCCCCACTTCCCCATCTGTATAAGTCATCTGTTTGCTCCTTGCCTCCCAATGATTTGCTTCTTGGGTATTCTGGAGGGCCACCTTCTGTTAGCCAGTACTTCAGAAGGCTTTGCCTCCCTCCAATCTTGACTTCCTTTCTGTACCAATATTCAGAAAGAAAGGCAAATATTCCCTGTTCCAGTTCAGCTGCCTATTAAGAGAACCACAGAATTAAAGCTCAATGGGAAGGGGCCTCTGGGGTCACCTAATCCAGCCCCTGCTTAGGTCTCAATATACACTGCAGTGCTTCCTTTCTCTAGTTTTCAGGGCAATTGCCACTTTCAGTAGGCAAAACACCAGCACTGGAGATCCCAGAAGATACACATGTGGGAAGACCTTGGGAAAGAGGGACGCATTTCCTGAGGGAAAGGATTCAAGAAGTGACCCTGGTAGGTCATTGAGAAAGATAATGAACAAGAAAAAAATCCACAGCCTGGGGTAATTGCCAGATGAATCTTCCTAGCAGATGGAAGGAGAGCAGATTGTGCAAATTACTTCAGCCCAAGTCTGCTAAAGTATTGTGAGCCTAGGACAAAATTCAGGGTTACAAAGGAACTTAATACCACTCAGTTTGGGAGAGCAGAGAGAGACACTCTTGTCAGGACTTGCCGGGTTCCCCTCTCAACACTTCCAGTCATTTTCCAGGTAGCTGGGAGCCAGTCAGCCACTCAGTTTTACCATTTGTAAAATGCATTAAGTATTTTCCATTATTAGCCAGGTGTGAAGCATGAGTTAGTGTTTACAAAGGGTTTGAATGCCTTCACATAGCAGCTAGCACAAACATTCAAAATACTGTTCATGAAGACCATCCCTTGCACTGGGAATAAAACAAGTGTTATGACGGGATTTTGTAAAAGAAGCTCGTATTGCTTTGATGTCTCGTATTGATTTTTCCAAGGCCACTGTACAGTTACCAGAAAATTACTACAGAGCTGACTACTTCGTCTGGATACCAAAAGGCTATTTTCTTTCCTCGTGAAGACTTCACTACTTACACATTCACTACATCACTGCTAACAAATATAAACACATTCATTTTTATTTGGGACTGCCTAGTGAGTCATCACACCCCTTCTTTCTCTAATTATATTCCCCCCTCTGCTCAGATGACTCTCAAAGGTGTACAGTGGGGTTTTTTTCCTGAACTGAAACAGATACAACTTCCATGAGGTCTGTGGCCTTGTAAATCAGCTGGTACGATGAACTACAAAACCACTGCTTTGAGAGGCCTTCCAAGAGACTTGTGCGTGTTATATTGTGCAGACCAGTTTATTTGGGCTTCAGTGATGGCAGTGTGGGCATCAAGGCTCTTGCAGCGCAGCTGAAAAGGTATTAGTCATATACATGACTTTTTAACAATTTAAGTCAATCGCTTGTTAGTGCAGATCTCTTGATGCAAAGCTTTTGCAGAGTATGTCCTATCCAAAATCTCCAATGCAATGAGTAAGATGCAGGAAGGCAGAAAATGAAATTTGTCCGGTCATGATAAACCACATAGATTCACCAGCACAAACTTTTAATTGGGTCCCAGCAGTTATCATCACATACTAAATGAGAGGTAGGTACTGTCCTCTGGAATGCTTGGAAAGGGTGAATTTCAAGATTTGTATAACTATACCCGTTGACACATACTAAGCTACCATAAAACAATTCAAACAAACTGAGCAGCAAACAAACAGAGCAGATAACAGTTTTGGTTTTGTGGCCTGTGTCGAAGACTTAGCTGGTGGTAAATGAAGTTCTACTGTTGTTGATAGTAAAACTCCCACTGACTAATAATTAATAACATAGTTAATAACTAATTAGTAAGACAAGACCAGAATTTCATCTTTCTCAGATAAGTTTGTTTTGATATTAATAATCACAACATGCCACAATTAATGTCACCTTCAAGGATCATTCAGTTTGATTGTAGCCTGTGCCCTGGTCAATGCAGGTTGGCAAGGAGCTATTAGCACAACCCGACTCTTCGTACTGTAGCATTAATCCCTCTTCACAGAATAAAATAGACAAGAGAGTGTTTGGTTGCTCTTCTGGCTAGGTTACAGGCCACTGTATCACTATCTGCCTCATACATTACCTCTATTGACCAAAATTTTAGGTATGAAAATTACACTATCACATTCACTTCCTTTCAGTTTGTGGATATGCCACCAACTGGTATATTTTCTTTGTATATTTCACATAATACTGTAAATTACTTAGAGAGAAATGCTAATAAATCATTTGGATACCATTTAATTCTCTTCAGTTTTTCAGACTGGCAGAAAAACAGCTTCCCTAACAGAACATACAAGTGACAGACCAATGAAAACAAGGAGAGATGAGCAGAGTGAAAGACAGCACCAAAAAATCCTCCTGCACTTTTAGTGTATGGAAATACCCTTTTTCTGCCCCAATCAGTTAATTGTTAAAAAGGAAAAAAGATTGAACTGATTAAAGCTATTTTTCTCTAAGATGTCTGGTAGCATTCAAAGGCTTAAAGAATTAGCTTACAGTTAAAATGATTTTACTCTCTTTAACTCATCTCCTTTTACATGGATTCTTATCTTTTCTAATTCTAATACATTGAATCCTGGGGGGAGGGGATGAAAAGAGAGATGGAGGGAAAAAAAGAAGAAAGCCTAGCAAAAAACAGGTGGGAAGGAGCCAAGTTCATTAGCAGGTGAAAGAAAAACAATCTATGCACCACATACACCGTCATGTCTTTTTAACTGGAGACAGACAGTGAGAAGGCACAGCTATCCTCCAGAACTAAACATATAATAAAAAAATTTAAAGGGTTGGGATATATTTATTATATGACACACAACCTATTGATTTTCCTGTATAAACATATGTGGTTCAGAAGTGCTGAGCATCCACAAATGGATTTGTGGCCATAGAAGATAAGCTTTTTAATTCTTTTAAATTCAGGTAATAAATTATTTACTTAGATTAACTGCTGTCAACCAGCTAGATCAGTGATGCAGGCTCTCCCCACACCAAATTTTCACTAGTTTTCACATTGCTTCCTATCCTTACTTCCTTTGGTGACACAGTTGTCTACTGAGGGTAAACAACATTTAAACACACTCTATGGATTGTGGGCTGTAGTGTAATATATAGCTACCTAAAATAGCTTCAGTACCACAGGAAATGGAGCTATATTAGAAGAGCAGGTTGCTATGTTAATTTATGCTTCTGTCCTGGTTCTGCAGGGGAGCCGTGATAACCATGGTGAGGTGCAACGTGAGGCACAGCTGCAGTGCTGCGCTGCGTTGCCTTGCCCGTTAGTGGCCATGCACTGAGCACTTGGGTAGACCTGCAGCCTGCACACTTCAGGAGAGAGCAGCATCTCCTTCATTATCTGAACATATCCCTGAGAGAGTAATAAATGCTCAAGGGACAGCACTATGCTTGATAAAATGATGCTAGGAATAACTGCTTCAAAAAACCTACAGCGTTCACATAGCTTTTAAAAAATCACAGCATCACAAAACAACTTCTCCTTGATCTTCCCTTCATCCTCCTCAGCAGCAATGGCACCACAGACTGAAGAGGCTGGACGGGTGCGGGAGGGAGCAGGTTAGCGCCCGAAGACCTAATTTTAGATGGCTGGTGTGTGGTGGATTCAACAGCTCTCTGAAAAACTTTCCTGACACTGCATCCCAATGTCAAATACTGCAGCACTCAGAAGGATGTTATTGGGTCCTTCTCATAAGCCAAGCAGCTCCACTGTAGTTATTAGATATCTCTTGCAGAGCTCTTCCTGGAAAGTGTTTTCCAGGGCCTCACTTGTTAAGCAGTGGGGAGCTTTCTTCTACTTTCCAGGCAAACTATATTTCATAATGAGTTTATTCCTATCTGCTCTCAGGGAAACATTACTCTCTAGCCTAAATCGCTCCTTTCTCTCTGTGGTGTTTTTCCCTGTGATGTATTCATAGATGGTATAGGTACTATACCATCTTTGGACCATTATTGGACTAATAAGCATCTTCAATTAATGAATTTCCCCTGCAATGCTGTATCAAATACTTTATTATAACGGAGGCACATGAGATCCACTTCATTTACTTTGTTTAGAAAAAGATGGCTACCTTATCAAGTAAAATATCAGATTAATCTAGCACGACTGCTTTTTGGTAAATTCATGTTGTAACTAACTTTTAATTGAATTCCATGTATAAAAAATGAATTAGCACAGTTACAAATATTGATTCCATTTAAACTACCTCCAGAATATCTTGCAGGACTCTTAAAAGTTAAGCAACAGTGCGGAAAAATTGCTATTTTTGTATAGTGTTGGGGAATGGGCCTTCTTGCCCTCCGTGCCAGATACTCCTCAGTCACAAATTACCACCTCTGAGCAGTCACAATTAGAATTTCCCCTTCAATAGTTAATCCAATGCAAAGACATGTAAGAAAAAGATGAATTCCTAACTATTCCTTTGTGTCAATTGATAGATTTGTGTCTGCTTCTGGTGATTTCCTCCCTGTGAAGAGAAGTTATTTTAGAACTGTTTCACATATGTCAGTTTAAAACCAGCTTCAGCATGCACTCAGGACAAAGCAAATATCCCAAACTAGTCATAATCAAGACAGAGCAAAATGGTACAGAAGAAGAAAAGAGGATGACATGGTGCCTGTATGTATTTGTTTTCTTTTCCCACCAGGAGAAAAGAGAGGTTCTTGAGTGACAGTCTCCCACCAGCTAATAAGATTGACTAGAAATCCAGTGCCAGATAGTCCAAAAACTACCTGATTCTCATTAGTGGAACAAGAATCAGCGATGTTGATGTGAAGAAGATAGATGAATGGTAAAAGAACCACTGAGGTCCTGTGAAACATTCAGAGTGCCCTCTAAAATATGTCCTTTTTAATCTATATTTTGCAGAAAGAGGGAGTAAACGTCTGAGTTTCTCTAAGAGGATATCCCTAACCTCTAAAAATTGCTGCCTGGGGAATTGTTTCCTAACAGGAACTACGTTAGTAGCTAGGCAGATGTTTCTTCTGAAATGTTTGAGCTCTTCTGAGCTTGCCCTGCCCTGTTTCTGTGGAATGGAAATATTCATGGCTCTGCTCTCACCAACAGAGACAGCAAAGGACTGTGAGAAGGAAGAGAGAGAATCTGGGGCCAAATGCTACCTCATATACTTGCCAGGAGCAGCTGGTTCCCTATCGCTGATGCCATGAAAACGATTAAGCAATCACTACACATCTACTTCCCTATCGATCCTTAATTGCTGAAAGCGGTACTTTTTATCTGAGGGTTCTGATCACTCCTACAGCCACCCCTCCAACAAACAAACATGACTTTTCCATTACCATGAGTACGCCGAAAGACCACCAGTCAGCGCTCTGCGTGTGTCCCCGGCGGTTGACCACCTCTGGGGCCATATACTCTATTGTCCCACAGAATGAATACGCTCTCTTGTCATGGTCGATGGCTTCTTTACTCAGACCAAAATCTAAATAAATTGAAACAAAAAAGACTTGTCAGGTCTTATTTACATTTTTGGCCACTTAAACTGTTCAAACAAAACACACCCACCAGCCGATGAAGCACCCTTCTGTCTGCATGCAGAAAGGCCACAGGCACGTGTGCGGTGAAGCCCTGCCTACGTGGAGTCCCTGCCTACGTGGAGTGCCTGGCTGGTGTTTGTTAAGATGTCCTGAAAGTACGTGTATCATTTTCTCTGTTCAGAATGAGGTTCTGGCCCAAAGCAGAAGAGAGAGTTTAAGTAGACAGAAATACATAGTTCAGGTTTGGTGAAGACAATGCCGGTAAGGATCCTTGCTCAGATAACCAAAGCATTAGGAATAATAATCCCAGATGGGCAACAGTGAAAAGGATGGCCAGACAGCACCTCCAGGGCAGCAAAGGGATGTCTTTCCAGGTGTCCTCTGCACAGTGATAATTCAGAGAATTTAATCTGGAGTAAGCAGTCATACTGGAAGCACCCTTCAATCCATGGTGGTAGGCAGCCAAGCCTGCATGCTTCACACCAGTCAGGAGTACAATTTTACCAGGAAAACACTATGTTCTCCATCTGCTGTGCAGCACGGGTGCTTGATGAATTGCCAGAGAAGAGAACCCCAACACTCAGACTCTTCTGGCTTCTGAGTTTTTGTAAGCAAACTCTTTTCACGCAAAGATCAAGATGCACGGAACACACTGCAGCAAAAAACCCAGCCTGTAGACATTAAGTTTTCCATTCCTCACGTACCTGTTATCTTAATGTGGCCCTCTTCATCAAGAAGAATGCTGTAAAGCAAAAAAGCAAACATTCATTCATTAGGCAGGCACAGAGTGCAGTTAATAAACATGAATAAAACATGTTTAAGACAGGTAAGGAGATATGCAAGACTCAAATACATGTGTAAACAAACCCCCAGTGGATTATATGCCTCCAGAAAGAAAAATGATCCTCAAAGGCCCGTCTAATCTCATGTCTGAAGCACACACGGCCTGCGGCAGTTGCACAGGGAGCCTCCTCCAGCATGCTCAGGCTGGGCATGCAAACTGAGCTCAGAAAGAACAGGGTGTTCAAAGCCAACAACTGCAGAGTATCTGCTTCCAGCAGGAGAAGGAGCTACAGGTTTTCTGCTCTTCTCATAATACTAAATGCAAGCACACAAATAATCAGGGCTTGGACTTACTGGACCTAAAATTAACTCCAAAGGTAGACACGTTCATGCTGAAGCAATAAAAGTGATTGTAGAGCATAATGACTAGTCACAGCCTAACTGCATGGATCCCAGCCCCTGCTAATTTATTCTGCCCAGAAGCATAAATGAAAATTCAGCCTGGAAGCCAAGTTCAAGTGTTCTCACGTTTGACACCTGCCAACATATTTTATTCTCACAAAGGCACTCCAACATTTCTGTGAGAAAAATGACTGTAGTTCACAAAAAGCATTGCTAGTTTTTATGGAAACAAGAAGGAACACTGAAACTGGAAAATAATGATTTTTGGTAACTCTTCTGCCTATAAATACCGATACAGTAATGAGGGTGGTGTCTCTTCAGTTCTAGTTAGATTTAGTATATTTCTCTTTTTCAAAACGGTCTAGCGAGGTGTCAGCTATTTTTATATTCTCCTTCTCTTAGAGAGTCACTTTAATCCAATTATTCAGGAAGAAAATAAGACAGAAGTGAAACAAACACATTGGGATACACTTTTGTGAAAGGTTGTCTCTGTACTGAAACATAATTGAAAAGAGATGATCTTCTGTCATTCGTTTGTGTGTTTAGAAGAGACTATTACTGTGTCATTCAACAAAAGCCAGCAGCTGAGTTACTGCTATGTGTTCAATAATTAAAGCTTTTTCTTCTTGATAAAAGCATCTTTACCTCTATTCTTTCTCCCCAGATTTCTTGAAGAGGCATAATTTTCAAGGACTAGCCTATAACAGGCATGTTATAAATGTATTTTTGTGACTGCAATCCCTAAACGAGAGGCTTGTGCTTCAGAAGAGACCAGAATAAAACACCTGCCAGGGTGGAAGTGAGCGTGAACGTATGAACTCCACAGACCTGGCTCTGGAAAAACGGCAAGGGGGAGTACAGCTCACAGAAATCACCCAGAATTTTGCCCCACACCCAGGAAGCTCCTGTGAATAACAATGCAATTCAAAGGTTGTGGGATTTTCCCCAGAAACATCGATTTTGTATTTCATAGATTTCCTACTGAAAATCCATGCTGCTTTTCTATGTATACAAGATACGTTTTTCATACCTTTGCCCTCATTAGAGGGTTCATACCTTACCCTCATTAAAGGGATGGAGGCAATACCAACGCAGCTATCAGACTGATAATGCTGTCTTAGGTTAAGTGAGCCAGAAGCATACAACAGACTTTCTCACACCAAATGTCTGCATGAGCACTAAAATGAACGGATCCCGGTTTCCTATGGATGTGCATCCTATATGCCCTAAAACTTGGTCTACAGTTCCCTCCTCTGTCTCATGTTCCCTAACCACCCTTAGGGTGCCCGCAGCTGCCTGCAGCTTCCCCTGTGCAGCTGCCCCTGGCAGCACCCTTTGGACAGCTGGGTGTTTCCACATTTGCCATCTGCCAACACATATAACGCTACGGTTATGAACTGAAAATTACATTTGATGTAAAAAGAAAATAATATGCTAACAGTGAGAAAAAAGATAACTGTTGCACTGAATTAGCTTAGAGTGACATTAAGAAGCAAATAACAATGTACCTGCTTCTGAACATCCGAATTACAACAAATAGTTGTCCTTTGACTGTAGAAGCAAACTTACTATCTGATGATCATACTTTCTGTCTTCTCTTTTTATCTTTATCGCTTTACAGTCCCTTTTTATCTCACACTGTCCGTAGTAGAAATTCTGTTGTGACAATCACAATTACTTTAGCTATGGTTTGCAGGATCAGCTAATCTGAAATAAGCTAGTATTATTTTGCGGAAGGGAAAAAAGAACCAGAAGTTGTTAATGTGATTCAGGCTTGAGAAAAATCTTTCCTCTAAATCAATGTTTTGAAATTATAAAAAAACATAAGAAGTAGACTACTCTTAAATGTTAAACTAGGCTATAATCCCATTGAGTGATAGCCTTTCACTACGAGATTTTTCAATTTTATTTGTTCAGTTTAAGGTTCGAGTGTGTTTACAGGATATTATCATTGTCAACCTGTTTTTTATTTCACAACAATAACAACATTTTAGCCTCAGGATCATCCCACAAACATTCAAACTGCTTTCATTGACCTCAGCTTAAAAGTATGCTTTGAGAAAATAAAGGCTGAAAATCTCCACATTAGAGGCTGGGAAACTAAGCTAGTAGCAGGGGAATGACATACTCCAAGTTACAGGAGAAGCTTATAGCAGAGCTCGGACCGCAAAGTCCTTAGTTTTTTTGCTACAACTTTAGCACAGGGATAAAAAATCTTTGTTACTAGTTGTTGACATTATTTTATAGTGACTCTTAAATCAAGGCTATAGCAATTCTCTCCCATTTTTCTCTCTCTACTTTTAGTTTTGAGTCATGTCTTTTAGGCTTCACTTTGAACTCCAATATACCCAAATCATTGTGAAGTTCTGCCAAATTTATTAAAGCTGGAACTCTGGGGTTTTTTTGACGATTTAAGTTTCTTTCCACGTCAGCTCAGTTGTACAGAAAATTCAATCCACACTTTATGTTTTTTGGAAATTGTAGCCAGAATTTCAGGTTGGAAAGAAAACCTAAAACTTCATAAAGAGTGTTTAAATTGATTGCAGGCTTTGTTATGAACGTGGCAGATAGAGTGAAGTATTCAAATGTCTCCCAAAGAGATGAAGATTCTCACAAACTGTCCACCTTTTGTGACATTTCAGTGTTTGCACGACCACATACTATCTCACCACGCTGAACAGTCTTACGCAAAACTCGTCTCTGCTGTAGCTTCATTGACTGCTTACTTGATGGAAGACGGTGGTGATTTTCCACCAAAAGTCTTTGTCCTTTACTGATTCTCAGATCTTCCCTCTCTACACAGGGCAGCTACATTAATGAATGAATTGCCACGGTTTACAACATGCTGCATTAAGCAGCGGTGGTTTGGGTTTTTTAAATATAGTTCAACAATTCAGGAGTTGTTATATGAGCAGTTATATGAGCTGTCCCTCGCACAGACAGCTGAGGGCATTACAATGTAAGCCGCTCCTTGTTAATCAAAGCCCCTGCGACAGAACTGTATCAAGGTGCATCTGGGTACCTGGAGATAGAAAAGGCAAAAATAAATATAAAAATCTGTGCATTCTCAGAAGGTAGAGTTACTTGTAAGTCACTCATACCCTTAAACCACAGCATAAGAGATAACATATGCATCATATACTACTTTATAATAAGTTCCTATTTTTCTAGTTCAGTATAGCCATATTTAATAGCTTGAACCTGCAGTTCTTAAACAGAAACATGCCTCACCACGTAACTCCACTGGTTTCAGTGTGACTGAACAGTACCTTGTTCCACAAGGGATGCCACTGAAACCACCAAGACAACTCCAGAAGAATTTGGCTGCAACAATTAAAGGGAAGAAGCATCTACTTGTTCTAAACAAGACTTTAACCAGAAAACTCAATTGCTTGCCCTTTTGAAGTAAGTACAGCCAACTTTGTAACAACTCCCAGAGTATATATTCTGCTTGCACTTAAAATTAAATCATAGCTTTGAATTGTTAATATGGATTTTTGCTCAGGGAATCTTAAAAAAATGCTGAACCTTAAATTTTAACGTACTGAGGGTTCTTTCAAGTGGTCTGAACAGTGTTATTTTCTAACTAGTCTTCTTTGACATAAACAATTCCAATGAACTTCCTTTTAGGATACTTACAGAGCTGACTGAAGCAATCTCAAACCTATTAGCAGTTACTTTTGGGAACTTCTGGAGGACAGCAAAAAGACTGAACAACGAAAGAAGGTCAAATGCAGTGCGTATCTTTTAACAAAGGGGGAGAGAGAGACAACTGGGAAATTACAAACTAATTCATTAATCTCCAGTTTTGCAAATCTGATAGAGTAAACCTTGTGCTCTAATCAGACTGGTAATGCTTCTCCTGAAGACAGGGGTGTAATTCTGCAGGAATTACAGGAGATATGGATCAAGAGAAACCAAAAGAGGGGAACGAGAATGACTGAACACTCAGAAAGACTGACTGGTGAAGAAGAGTTTGGTAGCTGGACTGTTTAGGGTACAGAAGAGAGGTCCGAGGACACGGACGTACTTGCAATCCCCTGAGGCTGATGCTGAGAGCAGAATGAACTGGCTGGGGAGTCTAGAAGGACAGGCCAAGGAGCAATGGCCTGCAACTGCAGCAAAGAAATTTCAAAGAAATTAGCTATTAGGAGCAACTTTCTAGATGTACAACTGGGGGAGCACTGCCAAGAGACCTCCTACGGAGGCCATGGAGTCTCCACCAGCTATTTTAACAATAGGTTAGCAACACATCTGTAATGACCTTGTTATATTTGACCGTTCTCAGAGGCAAGGGGAGGATGAGAACATCCTGGGATAGTCCTAAATTTCTTTTATCATCTTATTTAGAGAACTATCCTTTTCCAGATGTAACTTTAAAATATAGCACTTTTTTCCCTTCAGAATGAATTTTTTTTCTGCTGTACTTGTTTTTTACTCTAAACCTAAAGTTCCAGTGAAATCATAGGCTGTCATGCCCTGCTGTCCTAGGCATGGCTACACATAGGCTTTACACTTACAAAGTTATTTTTAAAGGATATGGTTTTCAATCAAACAGATGCCTTGATTTATCCCCAGGTACGAACTTCAGTTGTACCAGTCTGGGTGATTCCCTTTCCTGTACAACAATAGTTATATTCATGTACAGTAATTTTATACTATGACAGTTGCATCCAGATTCAACTGTACCACTGGTATCTATTTAACTAGACATCAAAGACCATAAACCATACATGCAAAAGTTAGGAAATAGCAGAATGAGGGCTGCCTCCTTAACTTTACACAGTGATCTCACTGTATAAAGGTCTTTAATTACATGATGATACTTTTTGTTTTCTTCCAGATAGCTCTTGCCTCAGTTGGCAGAACAGATAATATACTCAGGGATTTTAGCAGAGTGGTACAGTGAAGGGGGTGGCTGGCTGGTCTCAGCTCAGACGAAAATGCACAGAGAACTGGGTTCCATCTTTGCCTTTTCGACATCTTTCTGTGCGACAATGGCAAATTAGTGACACCTTCCTTTCTTAGGTGAGCTCTGATTTCTCAATTCACTGATCCCTGATTTGAGACACTGGAGTTTGGCCTGCAGAAGTTTTAAGTGATCTCACTCGCAGCTGAAGTCAGTGAGAGATGTGCTTTGAAATGCAAAGTGACACATAATGCTGAGAACTCTGAAAAATCAGGCTCTCAGTATCTCAAATACAGTGAATAGTTTTGACATACACGTAATTTTCCTCTCAGTTTGTAACTTCTCCTAAAGCAAAAAATTACGGCATGCGCCTATAAATGTAACAGCACCATGACTTATATTTGAATATACAGGCTCATATTTGGATACCTTCTAATAGCAGCTTCATATATCATGTGTTAGCTTGAAAAACAGCTTCATCTAACACCAGAAAGAAAAGCAGTACATGATTCATACTAACACTCACTAGAAACAAAGTTTAAAACTGAAAACCTGTAATTGGAGTTATTCTATTATGTACACGTACATATTACGTACATGTTTGTTGATGCTGAATGAATAAAATAGCAATTCAGAATGAAGCTGAAACCGAAGACCTGCTGGCGGACGATGCAACAGCACATGGCAGTGGCGGCTATGGTGTGACCGCTGCCTACCTGCAGTTCATATTGTATAACAAACTGGTACCTTTATCCTCCAGTGGTTTAATTTGGAGGATGACTTCCTGTATTTGCCAAGGACTCTGGTTTTCAGTTTTGGTTGCATAAACGGGCAAGACTGGAAATTTTGGTCACCTGCGAAAGGGTCTCTAGCCCAAAGGACTGAGAGCTCTGGTTACGTACATCTGTATGAATTCATATAGTACTACTGCTATTACTGTTGTAACCAAAACATAAAATTGAATTTAAAGTTTAAATCACATAGTACTGTGTTGTAGATAAATAGTCTCCCCCTCTTCAACTTCTCACCTACAAAATTCACCTTCCATTACTCTTGGTCTCTTATTTCGTCCATGAGTGTGAAAGCAACAGCACTCCATTTTAAAGAAAGAGCTGCATATTTTTGAACTTCACATTACAGAAGGAAAAGGCTGCTCTCCTGTTATACTTTGGGACTATAAACAACAGCCAAACAGACTGCTCTCAGTGGTCATCTTTTTTAGATGACGGTGACCATTACATTAAAAAGGCTGGTAACTTTGAAATGTTGTTCAGCCTGTTTTATTGGAGCCGACACAGAAGATGCAGGCAAAGCACCAGGCAAGTGGCACGGAATAAAAACAGTATCAAATCACTCCCAGTGATAGCACTGAGGGTGTAATTTAGTCTATTGACATACTGCAAAGAAAAAAGAGAAAGGAAAAACCTCCATAGCACCACATTAGGAATAGAAAATAGCTGCAAATATAAGAGGGAATAATTATTGGGAAAATATTTTGGATCATTAATAAAAGTGTTTTTAAAATCCTGATTATCGTGTGTCTCATGAGCTAATATGCACACTAGTTTTCAGAGATGCTCATTTACTTTAAATAATGGCTACAGTAAAACTGAACAGTGCCATGACATATTTTGTATGAGCTGGAAGTGGAGGTGCTTTGAGCGGTTTATACCACACCAAGGGGAAGGCCAGATTAAATGTTGCAAATGGAGAACAGTGCTACTGAAGTCAAAGGCACAGACATCTGAATCCTGCGTTGAGATCGGTCACTAAACTGAAGGCCAGGCACACAGAGGCCACAGCGTACTGGAACAGAGTTGAAGTATTTGGCCTCATGCTAAAATGATACAATAGGAAGACCCTACTCCTGATGGTGAGGGTCTCATGTGTGGAGTCTCACGTACAAGAAGGAAGGCAGAGCCTCTGGCACCTTTTGACTTACCAGCATGACAAGGAGCAGAAACAACCTAAAAGCCCACATATTTTCGTTTCGGTTCGTTCTTTCTGATTAACTTACTTTTCTGGTTTTAGATCCCTGTAAATAATTCCAAGACCATGGAGGTGGTCTAATGCCAAGGCCAGCTCAGCTAAGTAGAACTTGACATCCTCCTCTGTAAACATCACCTAGAGAGAAGGAAGAGAAGAACACGTCTATTTACTGGACAGTGGTGGGCTGGCTTGCATTAAACAGACATGGGGAAGGAATTGCCTAACTTGGGAATGCTGGAAGGACCATCATATCAGGTTCAATTTTCCATAATTTGTCTGAGCTCAGATTAACAATTTTTACCAGATTCTCCTCATAAAACAAAACTTGATCTCTTGAGTACTTCTGTTCCTTAAAACACGCTGCTCTCATTTGTCTGTTTGATCTGTTTAGATGACATCATGTCGCAATAAGATGAATAAGGTTCTAACTCCTTAGCCTTTGGAAATGAACGGCAAAATTCAATGTGTTCAGTGCAGCCCTTATTGCTTTCAAATCTCTTAATTTGCTAAAATCTTGGCATTTGGTTACCAAATTCCCACAAAATAATTTGGGGTAACCTCTCTGGGGAAGTGAAATGCTTCTTATTTTAGAAACCAAAACACATTTAGTTCCCAAACATGAGCAGGGACTCAGAGATGGATTTAAACCCCCGTGCGTCGAGGGTGCAAGGAATCTCAGTGCAGATGCCCTAAGCAATTATGCACTGTCTGACATCCAGGGCCTGATGAGGTCTAAACTGAGGGCAGTTGTTTCCTTTCTATAGCTGATACGGCTACTACTCACACTGAAAGTTCTGTTTTAAGTGGGAAGAAACTCCTGCAATCGAAAAAACGTTAAGCTCAGAAAAATTGAGCTAAGATGGCAAGAAACCCCTTTGGTTCAACTTTCATTATATCCCAGATGATATTAACTTCTCTTCAATTAAATTTCAGTATGTACAGCAATAATAATGCAGAAAGAGAGGTTGATATATTGCATACACAATTGTGAATATTATGTGTGACAGAAGTAAAATGATTCGGCTCAATAAAAATTTACATGTCATATGTAAATGTAAGTATCTACAGTAGAAGTTGCCGAGCTTATTTTTAAAATTAAGTCTCTGCTCTTGGAAAGGGGCAGCCACAATACTTGAGTGCTCTGAGAAGCTGCAGAAGGCTGAGAGCAAAAATAAAGGATTCAGAGAACAGATGTCACATAATTTAATTAAGAATATCACTGCAAAGGCTAGAAAGAAAAAGGATACACAGGCAAAAATTCTGACTAAAAATTGAATTGGTCTGAACATAAAAATTGCATTAGTTATCAAAATAAATTTAAATTATTTACAAGGTTTAAAATAAATAATGTAGGCAAGAGATGAAATCAATAGAATCAGAGAACATCTAATCTATACAGACACACCCAGCTGAAGTCAGACATCTCAGAAAGACAGAGCAAGAGCCAAGCTTTGCACGCACACATGCTGTAGTATAGAGGGTCTGACTGAAAGTTCACTGAAATCAATACCATTGTACCAAGTCCGTAATTAACAAATTGCAAGCAGTACAAGTTTTCCCATAAGGTCTTTCCTTGCGACACCTTGCCACTACTAAACAGCTGCGAAGTATAAGTAGACAAGATGAGCTGTAAACACTGAAAAAGAAGTATGTGTAAAAGGACTGTCAAGTTAAGAGGACTCGTTCTTGATAGTACAAAGCAGAGAAATCAAGAGATTGCATTGGAAAAGCTCTAAAGAAAATGTGAATTTTTAAAGTAGTACAAAATCCGAGCTGTTGCCTTTCACTTTCGAGTTCCCTAACTGTGCAGAATGTATAGCTGCCCTCTGTAGGCAAGAATCACTTTTTCTCTCTTCTCCCATGAAACTGGAGAGGCCCTTGCTAAGACAGCACGCTGTGTCACTGACAAAGCCTGATTTCATGGCGAACAGCAGAAGGATATTTTTATTTTCTTTAATCTTTTTCCACATATTAAAAATAACTGCTGCCATGTACTATGTACTTATACAAGTATCATTACTCGGCAGTGTAATTAACCTGTTGCTAATGTCTTCTCACATTAGCAAACAAGCCTTAAAAGCAAATACTTGGGCTCCCAAGCTGTGGTGCACACAGCAGCCTGCAGCATGTCACTGAACCAGGAATCAGATGGGAAAAAAAAAGCTAGAGAACTTTTGAATGGAAGTACTGTTTTCACAGCTTTTTTAGTCCATCAGTAACTCCCCAAATCAAGAAGAGCGAACACGGCTTCCTCTCAAGATGGCATTTGAAAGGTCCCTCTTTTATCTTTAAAGATTGTGTGTTAGGTGGTTGCTGGCATCCCTGGCCCCTTCCCAGCCTGGAAAGAGGCCAAGGGCTGGGGACATCATGTTGGTGACAGAGAACACCGGGGCACAGAGAAGCCCCTGGGGGTGGCAGGGCTGCCTCGCTGGAGCCTCCCATCCTGCCTGCAGGACTCTCTGAGGCTCCATGCAGGAGGATGCACTGCTCCAAGCAATGCAGACAGCTGGCTCGAAGGGGCATTTGGAGATGCAGGCAAGTGCTAAATGAACCTAGAAAACCTGCTGCTGCCGCTCTCTATGGGCATTAGCGAGACTCAAGTTTGGACCTTTTCCTAGCTGCCTTTTTCTCCCGCGGCAGCATCTTCCCGGGGCAGGAGCTGCGGAGGACAGGGAAGGATGGGAGCCCAGGAGGTGACGGAAGCAGAAGCTGCCCCCAGGCAGGCAGGAGGAGAGCCGGCGAGGGGTGTGACAGCCAACCTCCGAGCCCTGGGGTGGCGCGTGGCCTCCGACCTGCTCCCAGCCGCTGCTGCAGGAGACGGCTCTTTCCCCGCTCGCCGGCTGATGCCCCGCTGTCTGCACGCTTGCTGCAGGGGTCGGCCCCTGACCTGCGGCCATCTCTCCTTCCTGCTGGCAGCGGTTGTGATTTTCCAGCAGTTCTCTGCCCACGTCCTGGGCAAAATGTATGGAGGATTGGTTTCTCAGACTGTTTCTCATCACATCCAAGATATATTTTGTGAGCTATGAGTCTGGGGCTATTTTGCTATGGGAATGGCGTAGTAGTGGTACAGTTTTCTCCAACAGTGATGCTTACATGCTACCTGCCGCAGTACCTATGGCATAATTCAAATACAATTCTTAAGAACACACTTAAAGATGCAAGATGATACAGCTCTATTACATATATATAGCAGGCCATTTTTCATTCCCACCAACTTCATCTGAGTTCTGGAAATCAGGAGTCTTTCATTTCTAAAGTTAAAATCTATCAGCTTACCTCTTTGGAGAGTCTTGTGAAAAGGTCCCCTCCCCGCAGGAAATCTAGTATTAGATACAACTTTCCCTCTGTTTGAAATGCTGCATTAGAAAAGGATGGAGATGTTGGAAGTTTGAATCAAGATAAAGTCTCCAAATAATTAATCTTGTTGACTAGCAGTGTATCATTCATGCCGTTATCTTCCCTGTCATCTCAGCACTTTGAGAACAGAAAAATTTGTTTGCTATAGAACTAAGCAATTGAGCTTAAACTACGGGAAAAAATGGTATCAGCTGAGAGACAACGACGCATTACTAATATATTCTTTTCCTTGCTAAGCACCTATGAATTAATATTGCTTTCCATTGCACAAAATACCAGGAGTCACCGAGGGCGAGGCATAGAGAGAAACTCCCAGGTTTGTGTGAGGGGAGAGCCCGCACTATTCAAAATGTGGGGCTCCTTAGGGAGCTGGTGAGGCGAAGGAAGGCAACTCCAGCAAGACACCACATTCATATACACACATATGCAAATTTGGACTGGTGCTGATTATTAAAAATAGTTTTTATTTAGATTCTCTGGTTTTCTAAATTATACCTGACAGCAGGTGAGGGGGTTGGCAGATGTATACTCACCAGCTACCCCACCAGCACAATCTATCACGTTGGACTTCATGACAAATGTACTTTGATGGAGGAATGGCTAAAACCTACTTATACTGAAATTCTCCTTTAGCATAAATGAAGAATTTCACACAGGTAGCCCTATGATTTTGTTAGAGACGGAGTCATAAGTAGGCAGGGGTATCTGTACAAAATTATAACACATCTAGTTACAATTCCCCAACCAATTTAAGAACAAACATGAATTATATTTTATTATAGTTACCATAATGAAGCTTGACTATGAAAGGATGATTCACTTCTGCCAAAATATCTCTCTCCATTTTTGATCGTACCCGATCCCGAACTATAAAGAAAGAACAATAAGAACAGCGACATATTAAGAGGCAGCATGGTCACTGGATACAGTACTGGAATGAGGTTCAGGCAGTTTGGATTCTGCTTCTCACTCTGCTGATGGCTTGTGGTGTGACCTTTGGCAAATCATGCCACTCTCTGGTGTCCCCTTTTTCTGCCTGTCTTGTCTATGCAAGGAGTAAGCTCTTCAGGAAGGCACCCTGTCCTCCTCTGCAGAGAACTGCCCTAACTAAACGGACTACAGTATTACAAACAACAGGAATGTGATTATGCTTTGCAAAAGAGAATGTTAATGTGAAAATTAAAACTATATAAAATTAATAACACTATCTCATTTAAGATTAAACAGAATGTACCAGTCCCAGAGCTTGTCGGGTTAACCTTGTGCAAATTAACTTTTTGCATTGTGCTGATGCTAGCAGCGTTTATGAGATATCACTGAATAGCACTCTCTGGAAGCAATTTATACGAAATATTTTTAGCTTCCAATAAACCACCCAAACAATCAGTAATAAAGAAAAAAGGCTGATTAAAAATAGTAAAAAACTATTTTTACATGTAGAGATAAATTATTGTGTGATAGCAGTGAGAAAAAAAACTTTTTGCGGTTGAGATGAATAGAGAGTAAGAGAAAAAATAGTTACAGAGGTGAGCTCGGTTCAAACTAATAAAAACTGACACTGAAGATTTCATAGCAAAAACATTTAGCAGAATGTTCAGACACTGAGGAGGATTCAAGTCCTCACATTATCAGCTCTTGATCTTACAGATTCATTTTTCAGTCAATCACAATTTTACTAATTCCATAACGAAAGCATTGAAATTTTCTTCTTTCTCTGCGTTACACAATGCCAATATACTTTTCAGCTGAAAGCATCTACAAGGAATGTTATGAGACTATTTTAGGTGGTAAAGCCTGAGATCTCAGTGAGATTCTGTCATCCCCTGCATGTGTCGTGGATCTGCTGAGAAGCCGAGTACTCTCAGCATCCAAGTAATGAACATGCCACGATGAAACCACATATTCTGTTGCTGTACTTCAAAAATTGATCCACAGAACTAGGTCCAAAACAGCCGATCTGAAAACCATAAATAGGAGTGGAGGGACATTTTGATTTCTTGCTATTTTGATGCTTTACTTAGGTCAATAGCGACGTAAGCTTTACTAGCTCACTCAACCCGAGCTACCTTGTGGGTAAAAATCAAGACAAAGGGAATCTCAGAATCTTAATCTTACCTCATGAGTAAAAATCACACATCATACACTCACAAAATGTTTAGCCTACGTGAAGGCAGCGTATTTTTCATGCTGTAGATCAGCGATGCTCCCAGGCAAGAATTCTTGTTGGACAGGTGGACGTTGCTGAACACTCTATGTGGGATATTTCCCATTAATTTCCCATTAAGCTTGGTTAGATAGCGTAATAACGTACTTCTCTGCACTGAGAACAGGCTGGCAGAACGGCAGCGCGCCCTCCTGCTCCATCCTTTCGACCTCTGAACAGGTAAAGGCACAGCTGTCCGGCCAGGCGCTGTGCCGAAGCCCCCTGCGCCGTGCCCTGCTCACTGCTGTGGTGGCACTGCTGTGGTGATTACAGGCTGTGGACCTGTCAGGCCGCCACGTCACCCTCCTCCCCACACGTATACAGCATGCCTGGAGGCACAGAGACATTAAAGAAAAGGCTGTGTCACCACAGAAAACACCTCATTCTCCAGAGCCATGGCCCCGTAACCGCTCTGAACCTAGTCTCCTCCAAAGCTTCTCTAATCACCACCTTCACAGTGGCTGCCAAAAAAGATCACTGGAACCTGTAATCAGGATTACAGCTTGGCACACGAGTTGGTGACCTGCCCTGCCCATCTTCCAGCACCAAACACTGCCTGATTTAAATGCTTTGAGGGCAGGAGGTACATAGGCCCAGAATTTTATGCAGCCCTACCACCAAAGAACATATTAATCATATTCTCTAGAAAGGCAAATCCACTTGCTTTCTCCCACTTTATTTTTCTTACCCTATTACTTCCATATGCCTGGGCTGTGCCTGATTTTAACCTCCAAAGTAGCCTCCCTAGAGGCATCTACCTGCTTGCACCAGCTTATGTACCACAGGGCACTGTCAGAGTTAGTTATTGTACTGTATGCTGCACATCCATTGTCACGATATTTAATAAATATGCAAGGTTGAATACCTTCTCCGTTGTGGTTTATTATTGATTCTGTCATAGCAGGAGGGAAGATTTATTTTGCCTTATTCCAGATACACCTAGGAATTCCCCTGCTCTTCCACCCTCTTGTATTTTTGTGACTGGGACAATGTGGGTCTGAAATGCATAAGGAAGGGTTTTAAGAAGAGATGGCACTTTGACATAACATTTCAACAGCATGAGGCTCTGTCTCTCTCTGACTCCTCTGTCATCTTCCAGGTATGGTGAGTGGAAAAGTGCCTCTCCTGCACTTCGGAGATTTTTTCTAGTATTCAGTGGTCCCAGTCTGCTCTGCTGAGGGAGTCTCCGTTCTAGTTCTTACATCCTGGCAGTCAGATAATTAGATTAATTTGCTCAAGCATGATCTGAATTAGTTTTGGCTGCTTATTCAGCTTGCTAGATCCTGGCTACAGAGGGACTCCTCCAGCAGTACAGGGAGAGATGGACAGGGTCTGATTAGCTGCTGCAGTGCCAGAGATGATGAGGCCTGAACATGAAAGATACTTGCTTCTACGCAGGTGACCAAGCAAACATACGTGTTTCCAAAATGACTGGATCACTGACAAGGACCTGTTTCTATGGATTCCTTTCTGAGTGAAGCCCTTTTCTCTGATGGTCTTATCAAAGAGCTGCAAAACCAGCACTGGAGCTCAGTAGCCTCAGGGAAGATGACTGAGCGGCTCAGTTCAGCACTGCTCAGCACAGGGCTGGGCTCTCCCGGCACAGGTTCCTGCCTGGTGCTGTGGAACAGCCTCTCCTACCCACCCCTTGGTAATGACAAGGGGGGTACACCAAAGGCACAGAGGAAAGCACAAATAACTCGGCTCCCCCGTCCTCATTTTGACCACTTGCAGGGGTCTCTGCAGCACACAGAGTGGGGAACGCAGGTGGCTTGGGCAGGTAATACACCAGATGTTTACCTCTATCATTAAAATGCTCATTGGAAATAGTGCTCACCTGCTAAACTCTTGCCCTTTCTACCCAGTGTTGAATTTGGTTTGAAAGGTGGGGTTTGCCACTTATCTTTAAATTATATGTCAGACAAAGGCAGAGAGCATAACCCGGAGCAATGAGCACACAGTTATGAAGATTGTTTGCATGATCTTGGACAAATTAGCTATCCCTGAAATAATCCCTGGTGTCACGAGACAGAAGAGATCAGACTGGTGGAGCCTGTAACAGCAGAGGAAGCACCTGCTACCCTGAAATAAAAACAGTTCCCATTTCCAGGTATTAATGTGATATAAAAGAGAAGGGGAGGCAGCTGAGGATACATGCAAATAAATAGAGCTTATCCACTTCAGTCTGTCTAGCTCTAAACATCAAAGAGGAGGATGTTACTGCTTACTTTATTTAACACTGAATGCTTAAGGAGAGGGTTTTATTTAAGGAATGAATTTTTACTTCTTGGGCTGTTTTAATTTTAATAACCATGAAGTACAGAAGGGAAAGGGCAAAAGAGAAAAGTATATTCAGAGCATCTTCCAAGGAGAGAAAAAAAGTTCCTTCGCAATAACAGACTAGCTGTATATTTTCTGAATAAGAAAATAAAACCATAATCCTGCTTCCCTCTCTGAAGCTCTCATGATATCAACTTTGATTGAGATTTAAATATGGAAATAAAAATTAAATTTCAGCCAATTAACTTCTTGTCCATATGTCTCACTTAAAAACTAAGAGTCAGTGCATCTTTAAGCTATGTACACTGTCAAATAACGATGATCTAGGGACAACCCTTGATGTACATGCAATGACATTATATCAGTTTAGCAGCATGTTGAGCCAACCCAAGGAGAACTTTAATTAGTGAAACCATGGCCTACAGGAGTTGTAAAGGGAGAATTTATAGAAGAGACACTAATTTATTCACTGTAATACTGATTAAAATTTATAGCTAATTCACCATAAGGGGAAAGTAACTTGTCATATACCTAGTGACTGAATAGCTGAGCTGAAGTCACAGCTCTGTGAAGTTAAACACTGTTCAGTCACTGGTTTCAGTGGAGCCAGAGTATTGCTTCTGGGATCTCTTTGGCCAAAGAATAACTTCCAAACATTTTTATCTAATAGTACCCTTCTCACTGCTGCCCAAAGTAATTCTTAGTTCTACCAGAAGAAAATTATCCTGAAGCTATTTTCTAAATTCGTGTGTAATACTTTGCTGGTCTTTTCTCTGTCTTCAGACTTACCTGGAGTAAAAGTTGATGTTTCTACTTCAAAAGAAGTGATTTTCAATTTAACTTGCAGTGCAGTTTTGGTTTTTGCATATAGATTTGGCGTTACAAGCTTGTATAAGCTAACACATACATCAAACTTAAATTGGTATTAATTCAATTTTCAAGTGTCAAATAAAAATGAAATAGCTTTCCCTTCTGCCCTCCTCCCTGGGCGGAAACCCCCCTGGTGCTCCGCGTGTGTCCCACACCACGCTTCTCTTGGTGCCAGCGGGATCCTGTCAGGGCACGGACACTTTAAGTTAGTGCTCCCGTGACTGATACCATTTTTCACTTATGGCTTTCCTCTTTAAAAGGTTTTTGTAGAGAAAGATCCAGCAAGGGAGCACATCTTACAGACATCTTAATGGACTGCCTTAGCTAAGGGCACTGAGCTGCAAATCAGCCTTGATAAACAGCAAAATCCTCAATGCAGTGAAACCTGTCTCAGGCTCACCCACGGGAGGAACCACGGCATGGTGCATCAGGGCTAAGAGACAGGAGCCGAGACGTATGTCTACGAGGAAGACCAGTGCGGAGCAAGGGAGAGCATCTGCCTCCATCCTGCCTG